ATATATATTTAAAATAAAAAGGGAAAATTTGTGGAGAAGAAGAATGAAAGAGAGAGACAGAGAGATGATTTCTTTGGAGAGAGAGGAGGAGAGAGAAAAGCGCGGGGGCTAGCCTAAAACTGAGGTTTTCCTTTTTCTGTGTTAATTTTTGTTGAGTTACGCAAACATTCTGTCGGTGTTTGTAATCGTTAGATTATGTGTTTGTAATCATTAGATTAGATTATTATATAATCGTCAGGTATTTTAGTTGATCTAACATTTACAAACTCTGATGGAATTGTTCCGTAACGAAATCATAGTATTTTTTCATAAATAAATAATTATAATAAGGAAGAAAATATGATTTTTTAATGTTTTTTAATAAATGCGTGGGACAGCAAAGGAAGATAGTACAAACAGTAAGGAAAAAATGTACTGTTCCGTGCAAGTCCGTCCAACTAAATTACCTGTAAAATACGATTTGCGTTGACCAATTTGTCCTTTTAAGCTTTTAATTTATTTAAAAAAAAATATAGAAATTAAGTGGACAAAAAAAAAAGAAAAAAGAGAGTGGACAAGCATGAAACACACGTATTCCTTGAATACGTTTTTCAAAAAAAAAAATTAATTAAAAAAACGTATTCCTTGAATACGTTTTCATTAAATAATTTTAATTAAAAAAAAATCGTAAACAATTTTCAAAATAATTTTCGTTAAGTAAAAAAAATTAAAATAAAACCGTATTTAAGAAATACGTTTTCAGAAAACGTATTTACTAAATGCGTCTTAACAAAAATTATTTTTTTTTAAAAAATACATTTAATCAAAACGTATTTAAGGAATACGTTTTACATTTAAATGCACAAAAAACGTATTCCTTAAATACGTTTTTTGTAAAATATATTAAAAAAAAATCTTCTTCTCCATTCGCGAGCAACAGAGAGCAGAGAGCAGAGAGCTGAGAGAGCTGAGAAAGAGGAGCGAAAATACTTGAGAAAAAAAAAACTCGATCCAATCTTCACTATAACGTGAACCGACAACAGCAACACGAGTCTTATTTCAGGTTAATTCATTCGCACGAGGTATATTGGTTTATCTTAACTTTTTATATTTGTTTGGAGTTATTTGGAGATTGATGATTGTTATAATATGTTTGAATGTGTTTGTGTTTGAAACTTGAAATTGCTAATTGATTAATGATTATGTGTGTATGTTGAATTGGATATTGAAATATTATGTGTTAATTGTCAATTGTGTAATTGTTTGGTTGTTGTTG